TTTCAGGTGAACAAGGCCAAACACAAGAAACAACTAGAAAAATAGAATTGAGTGCACGAACAAGTCTGGACTGCAGGTATGTCGTACACTCACGCTCCTGCTGAGACAATGGGAATGTCAGAGACAATGAGAAGATGGAATGAGTGAGGTAAGATTTTTCAGAGGGAATCTTAGAGGAGCTTCTTAAAGAACATGAGAAGCACCGAATAGTGGAGAATTGAAGGCAAAATCTCTGTGGCCAGGGGGACATGACACAAACAAAGCTGCAGAAGTGGCATCAAGTGCACTGTGAGCTGGGGACAGTGAGGTCACGGATTTATTGCCTTGGGCTGATCGAGAGAAATAATAAAGGAGGCATTCCACCCTCATAAGGCCTTCTGAAAGGGATGTCTTAGAATTATATTTAGTATTGGAAAGCAAAAAAATAAAATAAAATAGAATCCTTTTAGATACTGGGTGACAAAGTGTTTAATTTGAGCTCAGATTGCTCTGCGGCACATTTTAAAACTCCTTCTCGCCCACCTAGCCCTCGTTGCTTCATCTCCCTTCCGGGTCTGTTTTCCCTCCACTCTTCAGTTCTCCCTCGTATACTTAGCTGACTTTTTCCAGTAAGGACTTCAGCGTCTGCCAAGTTGCCCCTGGAACGTGCCAGTTACAGTCTCTCTTCTCCTTTCTGATTCTCACCACCCCCTCTGCGTTTCTCATCGCTTTCTCCCACTCCTCCCCTGTCCAATTCCCTTTCCGTCCTGTAGTATCGATTCTTCTCTGTCTTGTGTCTTCCTTCCACTCCTCTAAGTGGTTTTCCTTCCTCCTGTCCTTTGTTGAGAGACTAGAAGCCAGAATCTAGTTTTTCAAATCTTCTCCTGCCCAGAGAGTCTCAGGAAATAGCGTAGAATAATCAGAATGTAAATATCGTTGGCAACAATTATTCCTACACAAAGAGAGTTTCAAACTAGGGAGGCTCCGGCTAGGAAACTTCTTGTGTGCCCCAGCAGCGGTTGGGTGATGGTTCTCAAATGCTAGCAGTCGTCAGAAGCCCCTGTTCAAACACAGCCTGCTGGGCCCGCTCCCAGATTTCTGATTCAGTAGGTCTGCAGTGGGGCCTGCACATGTGCATTTCTAACAGGTTCCCAAGTGATGCTGATGGTACTGGTTCAGGGGTTACACTTGGAGAGCCACTGGAGTGGGGAAAACAACAGCTGTCGGGGTGTCGAGGCTTAGCAGTGCAGAAGTCGGGCACGGGGGACATCAGAGGGAATGGAGCTTTGCTCCTCATCACATCGGCCAAGGGACTGACAGCAGCCTGGGAAGCTCTGGACAGGAGCTCCAGAGGATGTGCTGGGGTGCAGGGAGGAGCGGAGGACAGATGGGGAAAGCTCTGTATTGTAACCTTCTGGGAAACACCAAAGCCAGCTCCAAACCCTGTCATCCACCCTCCCACTTGAGATCATGCATAGAAGCAGCAAAAGGGATTTCTCAGGGTCCCTTTGATCTCTTCCCAGCTCCCAAGTCCTCTGTCTGTTTATCTCCCTCCTTCCCTGGCCTCCTCTTCCCCCATCTTACCCCTGGCCCAGTGGATGATTCACTCCGCTCTCTCCCGCTTCCCCACCCCACTGCCATCTGTTTTTCTAATGATGGCAGAAGATGAGCTGTTTTGTCGGCCCACCCCATAACAAAGCACACTCCATGTGAGCATTTTTCCTGATGCACTCTCAGAATGCTGTTTTATTGGTATTAGTTCCCCACCCAGTTTTCCCTTTTCTCTCAAACCCCACCCTTTCCCCCTCTCTGGCCTCATGTGGATCCCGATTTCCCAGAATTAGATCAGGAGACACGAGATGCAAAGGAATAGAGAAATTAAGATGCATGTGGGCTGGGTGTGTAAGGGGACGGTGCTGGCAATAATGGAGTTTGAGGGCTCTCTCTGGAGCACACAGGGGAGCCAGAATTACCCACGCACTGCTGCAAAGTGGCTTATTTACTTCCAGTGAGAGATTTGGATGACAAAACCTGTTGTGACTGAGACTAGAATACTTGTATTTGTCACTGGCTATTCTTAGGGTGGGAAGGCTTAAATGGTGTGTGTGTGTGTGTGTGTGTGTGTGTGTGTGTGTGTGT